CACACACACACACACACACACACACACACACACACACACACACACACACACACAAAGAAGTCCTTTAAAAAGGATGAACTATGAGATGCCAGCAGATATCATAGAAATTTAAAGCAACATTCATACCCTGCAGATCATGAAGCAAAATCTGCAAGATCATCAGTTCTCCCTTAGACCCAGAACCCTGAGAGCCCCTTCTTACTGTGCCATAAGAACACTTGATGTATGAATGCATGATAACACCGAGGGTGAAGGAAACAGTTACTGTTGGTTTTGTTTGGATACAGGGTCTCGCTATGTTTATGAAGATAGCCTAGCACTTGCAACATAGCCCAGACTGGCCTTGAAATCACTACCCTCCTGCCTCAGCTTCCTGACTGCTGAGATTACAGGCATTTGCCACTCTGTCTGGCTCTATTTTTAAACAAACAATTTCAAGTAAACATAATATATATATATATATATATATATATATATATATATATATATATTCTTTTCTTGTTTGCTTATTTATTTTTTATTTTTGCCACAGTGTTCACTACATAGCCCTAGCTGACCTGGCACTTGCTATAGTTTACAGTGAAAAGAATTCAAGGCATAAGGAACCTAAGTTACTTAGAGAAGTGACAGCTAAGTCACAAGACCATCCTCTCCAGCACCGTGTTTTATGCAGTTTGCTTCAATTCTTCCAACAGGAAAGGGGCTGGCATTAGGGTGGGGCCAAGACTTAATTAAGCATTCTCCATGTAAACAATTGGAATGCTCTCCCTAATAGTATAAAAATACAACGGAAGCACATTAAGGAAGACAGAAGGGGCCAGGCATGGTGAGGCATGCCTTTAATTTATAGTCAGGCAGTGGTAGCACATGTCTTTAATCCCAGCACTAGGGAGGCAAAGGCAGGCGAGTCTCTGAGTTCAAGGCCAGCCCTGTCTACAGAGTGAGTTTCAGAGCAGCCAGAGAAACCCTTTCTCTGGGGGAAAAAAAAAACGGAGGGGAGGGGAGACAAAACTATTAAGAACTCAGCCAACATTCACATTTTTATATGATGCCTTGAAATTTTCATGGAGATATTTTGAATGTTGAAGAGGCAACCTTCTGACATCTGTCTTCTGTATGATGCTACATGTTTATATGAAAGCAATGACACAATCTTTTCTAGTACCATTAGTCACCCCCAAAACAAACAAACAAACAAACAACGAATGGCATTTCAAACAGAAGATTTTAGGACGCAGTGGTGAAGGAGCCACTCCAAGAGAGGTGGCCAGTGTTGAATCCTGACCCTAAGGTTCACAGCTGTGAGTGCGGGTCTCAAGCGTATCTGCATCCTGAATGCCTCCCTGAGAGTATCATGCTTAACAAGCTGGTGAGAGAGTCTGTGGGATTTTTAGCACTTCATTTCTCATGTGCATGAGGCAGGGGAGGGGAGAATTCCCACAGTCCATCCCTGAGGCTTTACTTACTTGGTCATTTGTAAGAATCTACTTCTCTGAGGACAGTGCATCTGCACAACTCGACCACGAAAGCCATGTTACCACTAGTTAAACCCTAGTAAACACAGGTCCAATGAGCATGAACAAGATGCTTACATTTCAGAGTCCAAACAGCCAGTTAGTGTACTTGATGGCATGAAACGAAAGATTTCACTCCACCTGGGCTCCCAGAATCTGGCTGTTTATGTTGTCTGTCTTAATTTTTATGTTTCAGGAAAGAAAGCAAGAGACATGGAGGGATCTCTTTGGATAGTGCTTCAGAATACCTAAGATACACAGTCCCTTCTCCAGGCTGTGATGTCCATTCCCCTGAGCCTGTGGGTAAACACGCGATGTTGGCAGCTTTCCATGGAAAATAGAAATCATCATTCAGGAAGAAACTGGCCATTCCGGAGCACCCACAATCACCAGAATGAAGAACTACCGTGTGTTCTGTGTAACATGGAAGGCAAGAAATGGGGAACAAGGTAGAATGTTCTTGTGAGTGGAACCAAGTTAACTATAAAGTGTCTGACTGCTTACTCTAAATGTGTATTTTCTCCCAATTGTAGATATGATTATAATTAGATCATGCAATTCTCCTCAACCTGATAGAGAATAAAGACAGGTTCTCTCCTGAGGATTGCTCCCAGGGTCTGGATTATCAGGTGTGAGGAATCTAACTTAGGTTTCTCAGATTTGACTGTGGTTTGGGATAGATAATTGCTAAAACCCTTTTAATCTCTAAACCACTGTGAATGATTTCATTGATGTCTGTTAACTTTTTTCAGGGCTGTGACAAATACCTGACAGAAGCAACTAATGAAAGCAAGTGTCCATTTGACCTACAGTTCCTCAGTGCTGGAGCCATGAGGTACCTCACCAGACGGTACCTGCAGGACCCCAGCCCACGCAATAGTGGAACTCACATTCAGGGTAGGTCTTCTCACCTCACTTAACTCTGACTAGAAATTCCCTCACTGGCATGCCTAGAATTTGTCTCCTGGGTAATTCTAGATCCTGCCAACTTGACAATCATATATCACAGTGATATGAGGTCTAGAAGATAAGCTATTATAAATACACAGTTAAGATTTTAATTCATTTACTGTATAATAATGGTCAACATTCATAGAGCCAGGCACTTTTCCAACAATACTTTATTTGTACAAGTACTTTAAATTTTCCCAGCAGTTCCATGAAACAAGCATGAATCTCATTCTAATTTTAAAATGAGATGACATTAAGTTAAATTAAATAATTTAAAAGTACAGTACTTTTTAAGCTAGTGAACAAGCTTCATAGCTGGCTGGGATTCAACTGTAGGAACTCTATCTCAGAATGCATACATGTAAGAATTCAGCAATCCAGCTATTACATATTTCAAAATATTCATCCTGATTGAGAGAGGACCCAGCCCTGACCATCACAACTGCATTTGTACAGCGTGGTCTACCATCCCAGAGAAGCTTTTGCTGGTACAGAAATGAATTTTGAAGTATTTCAATTATTCTGCTACCACAGAACTATTCATGTGTGTATAGGCATGTGCATGTACAGGTGCACATGCAAGCCTAGGTTGACATTAGGTATCTCCATCACACTCCAACTTATAGATTGACCTAAGTTCTCTCCTCTTGCTGAGCCCAGAGCTCACCATTTTGACTGTTCTGAATACCCTGCTTCATTTGTGATGTGCTGGGACTACAGGCCAACTGTCATACCCACGTAGTCTTTACATAGGTGCTAGGAACCAAACTCTGGTCCTCATGCTCAGGTATCAAGTGTTCTACATACTGAGCTGCCTCCCTAACTCAGAACATAATTTGTATGTTGATTTAATTAAACAACAGTAGTCACAGGGTCTATGACTTCTCCATCCCTGTGATTTTGACAAAGTTAACAGTACCAGGCATGAATTTCCTCCTATAGTGTGGGCCTCAAACCCAATCACAGTGGTTGGTTACACCCAGAACAGTTTTGCTGCTGTTATACAAATAGGCTTATCTTTCCTGATGAAGAAGCTTCCACCTCAATTCCAGCTCAGTTGTAGAAAGGAGCTTTAGAAGTCAAAGTTCATCTCCCATCCTAAGAACTGTGTGTATATCTCTAGCTCATCCTACTTTAAAAAATAGTTTTGCTAACTCTTGAGTTTATTAATCTTATTGCTGACATTTAGACATAATGATGTTGTATCAAGATTTTATTCTAAATGAGACATGTAGAAGTGAATGCTGGATACACCCCTCAATCCTATTCAGACATCATTAGCACACTGTGTGTGTACTCACATGCTTCTTCCTTTTCCACCCCTTCCCACACATATCTACAAGTTCCTGACCAGAAAAATCTCAAGAGTCAGTGTTTATTAGGATTTCTTATGAAGGGTGGACATTTAGGTCCTTTTCTCTGGTCCTTGTCCATCTCCTTTTCTTGGGCTTCCCTCATTGAGTGGCAGTCTGTCTTTGTGTCCCTCAAAAATAATATTGTTGAAGCTCTCTTTCTCTTCTTGTGAGGAAACATTTTGGGACATAACATACACACATCTGAAAAATAAACAATGTTATTCAGGCTTTGGGTCATCTATACCTAAATAAAATAGGGGTTTTGTCCTAACTCCGGAGAGGCAAAGCTCAAACAAGACAATACAATGTCTATTTCTAATAATGTGTCAAAGGTCTCCATCTGAAGGTTCTGCATTTTCACTCCTTCTTCTGGCCTCCAAGGTCACCAGGATATATGTATACACAGACACAGACATATAAACAAAAAAGAATTGTAAAATAAAATCTGAAAAAAAAAAAAAAAGATGGGCTGGTAAGATGACTCACTTTGTTACTGTGTTGTAAAGCCTGGGGACATAAATTCCATGCTTGTGATATACATGCTGGAAAAAGGGAACTGACGCCTGCAAGTTGTCTTCTGACCTCTATAGTCTCTTAGTAGTGTGAGCATGTACATATGTACACACACACACACACACACACACACACACACACAAATACAATTTTAACAATAAATACATACAGTAGAGGGGGATAGAGGAAGACATCCGTGGTTTACCTGCAGCCTCCACATACACACACAGGACTTTCAAATACCTCCTGTGTGACAGTCTGCTCTTAACTCCTTCCAGCCCTGTGTGTGTTCACCTTCAAAGCACAGCACTGAGCTCGCATGACTCGTCATCACCGAGTTCCATTGGCAGGAAGTATTGTGTCATGCTCAGTTCAGGAAAGAGGCTCAGCTTCCTTCGCCTTCTCGGCATCCAGGATGCTCACATCCCATTGTGCATCACTGGACCAGTTCTGAGCATGCCCTGAGGAGGGAAGAGTCTTAAAACGCTGCACGAGATGTACGAACCAGGGAAGGTTTTTCCCCACTGTCATGTCCTTAGGATACCCCCAGAGCCCAGGGAGACATAGAGTGCCTTAACTTCTGAGAGCCCCAGAGTGGAATTCAGCATGAAGCCTTCAGTACTTGTTTAAAAATTGTTTTTTCTAACCCTTCAATAGAATGTTTCACTTAATATTTTCATGAGTTCTGCCTTAGCTGTATCATATAAACACACACAGAAAGCATTTAGCCTGTCTCTGTTTTCTAGATATTCTCCCATTGTTTTTGGAGTATGTGTTTGATAGATAGATAGACAGGTAGATAGGTAGATAGGTAGATAGATAGATAGATAGATAGATAGATAGATAGATAGATAGATAGATAGATAGAGAGGAAGGTGTGTGGGTATACTCATGCCATGGCACATATGTGGAGGTTATTGGTTCACTTCTTACACTATGTGACATTCAGAAATTGAACTCATGTCCTCTGGCTTGACAGCATGTTCCTTTACCTGCGGAGCCACCTAAGCTTAGTCATCACACTGGTCATATTGTAATGGTAATATAAGCCAGGTCATACTACCTTTATCCCAGAAACACACTGAGAAGCAGATGGTGACAAGTCACCCTATTCAATGCTGCATGCATACCACAGGCCCTAAGTTTTTCCTCATAGAGAAGTTGCTCCCGTCTTAGAGATGGGAATACCAAGCCCACATGCACACATGCACACCTTAGGTTGTGAATGTGTGAAGCTCAACCCAGTCTTATTGGCAACGACAAGGTTCCTCTGCTCCATAGCTTCTCACTGATAAAACCAGGCTCTCTGGTCTGTAGCTTCATCCTCAGCAGTTAAGAGCCCTGAGGAGCATCAGCTGTGGGGGAAATAAGATTAATAACTGTTCTACATTGCTGGAAAATTGGCCACACCAGCCCCAGCAGCTAAACATAGGGTGAAGGTCAACAATAACCTGAACCCATCATTTCAAACCATCTTGAAATTTTACTTGAAAGTTTTATTTAAACAACCCTCATCAAAATTGAGAGAATCATGGGTAGTTTTGCATTCAGCAAGTTGTATGTTTTATTTCTCAATCTTTAGAAAAATTTCATAGCTGTTTTTAAGAGGGAAAGTTCTTAAAATCTAAATAATATATTTTGCTGAAAGGCTAACTTAGGGATCCAGGAGAGGTTCTCTCTCTCTCTCTCTCTCTCTCTCTCTCTCTCTCTCTCTCTCTCTCTCTCTCTCCCCCACCTTGGAGAAGCTAATAAGGAAAGGACGCTGCATTCCAGTAAACCAATAGAGGCGGCTAATGGACAGCAGTGTGGAAATCAGTGTGAAATCTCGGCTGTGTGGACCAGCCCATCTCACCGTAGACACATTGCCCTCATTCTTGATGGAATTTTGCCTCAGATGTGGCAACGATTGCTTATTGCTGGTTTGGGTTTTGGAGATTTTATTTTTTAATTATGTGTATTTGTGTGTGCTTGTTAGAGAGCCTTCGCGTGTGAGCACAGGTGCCCACTGCAGCCAGAGGTATCGGATCCCTCTGGAGCAGGAGTTACAGCAGGTTATGAGCCACCTGACACAGGAACAAGGACTAAACTTGGGTCCTCTGGAATAGCAGTACTTACTCTCAACAGATGAACCATCTCTCCAGCCCCTAAGCTTTCTACAAGTTATACACACACACACACACACACACACACACACTCACACACACACACACACTCACACACACACACACACACACACACACACACACACACACACGAGACGATACCAGCTACCTCACAAATCCAACCCCTCCTCACACACACACTCACACACCTACACACACACAGACACACTAACTATTGTTCCTGTGTCTACTCCAATGTATGTTTCCAACTGTTTTGTTCCCCGCCCCCATGGAACTTTGACTCCTGGGTGCTGACTTGTCCTAAGAAACACAGAAGTGTGAGGCATGTCAGCCATCGCTTCTGTTTCTAGAATTACAGTAAGCAGGAAAATGACGGGGAAGAAATGAATAAATGGGTTTATACTGCCATCTGGTGACAATGACACAAATATACAGACAACACATTCTGAGAGCTCAAAACAAAATGACCAGGTAAAACCAGAATTTGGCACAGGTACACAGTCCCAGTCCTCAGGAGGTAGAGGCAGAAAGACAGTGCGATGGAGGCCAGCCTGAGCTCCACAGTGAGTGAGTCAATCAATAAGAAGTTCATTATTTTAAATTATATCAATAAATATTAAAGCTGGGTGTGGTGTGAATTTGAGGTCACCCTAGACTACATGAGAATCTATCTCAATAAAACAGACAAAAATAGAGAAGAAAAGAAGGAAGGAAGGAGGGGAGGAGAGGAGGGAGAGAAGAAAAAGGCATGAAGAAAGGAAAGGAGAGTGTTCAATAGTCTAATTAGAAAATGATGAGCTCGTGGTTAGAATTTGGCTCCTGCAGGGATTTGAGATGCCTTGGTTCCTGTTGTTGATTTCTATACCTTCAGGAATAAAGTAGAGCCTCTAATGCTCAGGGCCAAGAATCATACAAAATGCTTAATTGTAGTTGGTTTTTCTTTCACTCTTTTGGGGGCCCACCATCCAGTTGCCAAATAAATATGGAGACTTAGTCTTACTTATGAATGCCTAGCCTTAGCTTGGCTTGTTTCTAGCCAGGTTTTCTAACTTAAATTATTCCATTTCTCTTTAACTACATTTTTGCTTCTGGGCCTTTTACCTTTCTTTATTCTATATATCTTTCTTTCCTTCTTACTTCATGGTTGGCTGTATGGCTGTGTGGCTGGCTGTGTGGCTAGCCCCTGGCATCCTCCTCTCCTCCTTTTCCCACTCCTCGATCTTACTCTCCTCCATAGATTTCTCGTTCTATTTATTATCTGCCAACCAGCCCTGCCTATTTCTCTCTTCTGCCTTGCTATTGGCAATTCAGCCCTTTATTAGACCATCGGGTGTTTTAGACAGGCACAGTAACACAGCTTCACAGAGTTAAACAAATGCAACATAAAAGAATGCAACACATCTTTGCATCAGTAAACAAATGTTCCACAACATAAATGAATGTAACGCATCTTCAAACAATATTCCACAACACTTAATTATTCTTTCAGCTCCTTGGGAGGACTCTGCCTCTCAAGATCATTCCAGAATTGAAACTTTAAGGGCACGTTGTGTGGTGGCACAACATTCACAGAAATGTCTCCTCTCATGTTTACCTTCCAGTAGGTCCTCCAGAATTTTCTAGAAAGTCATCCACATCATCGAACCAGATGAACTTCAAGGGTCCATTGTTCTGTCAGTATGGACTTCTGAAGTGACTGTGTAGGCTGGTATGCGGAGGGAGTCCACAGTCCTTTGTTACATGTAAGCTTCTATTATAGCAAGCTTCTGCCAACACCAAGACAGAAGGACTGCCCTTACATAGCAAACTCTACAGAGGAAACCAAAGGTTCTCAATGATACGTAATTTGTTTGGCAGATTTAGCTGCCTCTCATTCTTTCTCCATCCATCCATCCATCCATCCACTTTCCCTCCCTCTATCCTTCCCTCCCCCTTCCTTATTTTTATGGTACTGTTAAGCATCCAACTGGAGGAGAAGGCTCAAGCTAGGCCTGCATTCTCCTATTGAGCTGCATGGTGGTCTCTTGTCTTCCCACCCATACTGTGAACACACTGTCCTCTCAACTACCTGGATCCTTTCCAAACTTTAAAATTCATCACTTCAAAACTGCTTCCAGAGCCAGAGAACCAGGGCCTGTGTGGCAAGATAGTAAGTAGCTTCTTATTATGACAGGACACTATGCCCATGAAATCTCAGCAATATGGCTGCCTAAACAATGACAACACCAGTTGCCATGACAACACAGATGCAGAAAATGTCATAAGACCGTAGATGGACCTACAGGCAACTAATGGCTGTAGAGTGGAAGAAACAGTCTTCTCCAGGGACAATCCTCCTGGAAGTTTGTCTAATCCCAAATAGTCAGCCACATATACATACAAGCCACACTACATGGACTCAGCAGTTTCTATGTGAGTGAGAGAGAAGGGTAGAAATGATGTAAATATAGGATTTATGCATGAAATTCTCAAAAAAATAATTTTTTTAAAAAAGCTTTGAGGTTTATGTATATATAGAAGGCGCTTTCCACTAGTCACTGCTCTTAGCATTCTGTGTGTATAGTATTATTTTTTAATCTTTAGAAAAATGGGAGTTGGGGGATCATCATCCTTATTTAATAGTTGACAAAGCTCAACTAACCCACATCTGTATGGAGAAAGAGAAGGAACCAGGTTTGGAAGCAGGCTCAGTCTCCCTGACTCATTTCTTCCTAATTAAGTAGATTGTTTGTTCTGATTGTTACATCAGGTCTTTTTAAGGTGCACACATGTGTAAGCACACAAGCATTCAGCTTCTAGAAGAGACACAATGAATGTCATATTTGCATTTAATCATAACAGTATATACATTTCAATATCATCCTTATGTGCAGCTGAGCCAAATGACTTGAGACTAGAAATCACTCCTCACCCTTCTGTTTAGCACCCCCAGAGCCCAGGTTAGCATGTAAGGAGATTCTGTGGGCCACAGGTGAGGGTACAAGTCTCAAGAGGCCAAGGCCACCTTCAGGTGCAGGTCAGGTTGGAGTCCAGCTTATAGTATATGTGACCCTGTCTCAAAAAAAACTGTAATTAAAAACAACTGTAGATTCTAAAACTAGACCATATTCTTCCGTGTGCCAACTATGAAATGTCAAAATGGGTTCTTGTCCTCTGTTCAGCAACTTTAGGATATTTATGAGGCTTGTTGAAAAAAATGAATGAAGCAGGCTGGAGAGTTGTCTCAGCATCTGAAAGCGCTGTCTGCTCTTGCAGAGGACCTAGGTTTGATTCCCAGCACCCAAATAGTCACTTACAATTGTCTATAATTTTAGTCCCAGAGGATTCAAAACCTCCTTCTGACTTTCAAGGGCTCTGCATACATATGGTATACATACAAACATGCAAGAAATACTCATGTACATCATAAAATAGGCCAGGCAGTGGTACATGTCTTTAATCCTAGCACTTGGGAGGTAATGATGGGCAGATCTCTGATTTTGAGGCCAGCCTGGTCTACATAGTGAGTTCCAGGACAGCTATAGCTACACAGAGAAACCCTGTTTTGAAAAACTAATCATCATCATCATCACCATCACCATCATCAACAATATCATCAAATAAATGAGTTTACAAATTGGCTGAGGGTCTAAGGAGAAAGTCTTTGTCTTGAAGGCCTGATAACATGAGTTCAATTCCTACACCCCAGGTAAAGAAGCTGGGTATGATGTCATCTACTTGTTATCACAGCTCTGAGAAGTTGGAGAAAAGAGGATCCCTTGGACTTGCTGGCTTGCCAGCCATATTAGCCTACTTGGTGAGCTCTGGGCTAATGAGAGGCTCAGTTTCAAAAAACAAGGAGAATATCACCTGAGGAATAACACCCAAGGTTAATCTCTAGCCTCTATACTTACATACACACACACACACACACACACACACACACACGAGAGAGAGAGAGAGAGAGAGAGAGAG